GATGCAGAGATATCATCAAAAGAAAATCACGTTCAAATTGGGAACCATAACCACTTTTAAAATAACTGCTATTGGCAGTTATTAACTTTAAGTTATTTCAAATCGGCCCCTCATCAATTCAAAATAACACATTCTGGTCTCTACACTTTAATCCCATAAAATTTAATACCCATTAGTCCAAAATTAAATCCAATGGATCACTTTATCGACTATATTTACTTTAAAATAGCACCACACATTCTAATAAATGTACATGTGTGGCCACAAAGTTGGAATTTTTTCCAACAATCTTCCACTGGGACAAACATGTTACATTATAAATGTGCACAGACTTATGAGCTCAAAATTGTGCTATAGTTATTAAAGGTATTTCCAAACAATCTCGTCCATTAGTTACATCGATGTAGGATCAAAGCGATTTTCGTCACATTTAGCGTGACTAAATCCATCAATGGTCACGTACACCCATACAACCAAATGACATAGATCAATTATGGGAGTGTAGCATGGAAATTACATGTTATGTGATCCGAACATATCTATTTCCAACTGGTCCAACCTTATTTCTTAAGTGAGATCAGTACTGAACATAATAACAGAGTGGAATGAACTGAATACTTTATTTCTGTACAGAAAATATCCAAATACATAAATGTGTTCAAAGAACTAAACATATATATACACATTCTAATAAATGTACATGTGTGGCCCCAAAGTTGGAATTTTTTCCAACAATCTTCCACTGGGCCAAACATGTTACATTATAAATATGCACAGACTTATGAGCTCAAAATTGTGCTATAGTTATTAAAGGTATTTCCAAACAATCTCGTCCATTAGTTACATCGATGTAGGATCAAAGCGATTTTCGTCACATTTAGCGTGACTAAATCCATCAATGGTCACGTACACCCATACAACCAAATGACATAGATCAATTATGGGAGTGTAGCATGGAAATTACATGTTATGTGATCCGAACATGTCTATTTCCAATTGGTCCAACCTTATTTCATAAGTGAGATCAATATTGAATATAATAACAGAGTGGAATGAACTGAATACTTTACTTCTGTACAGAAAATATCCAAATACATAAATGTGTTCAAAGAACTAAACATATATAAAGCAATAAGAATACAAACTCCCACTAAAACATGATATCCTCAAAAAATGCAACACCCATATGAGCGGTGTGCTCATGAAAGACCTTGGGTGGTAATCCTTTAGTAAGCGGATCCGCAATCATGGAGTTTGTTCCAATGTGCTCTATAGAAATCTGTCCACTCTGTACTCTTTCCTTCACAACCAGGAACTTAATGTCAATGTATTTTAACTTAGATGAGCTCCTGTTGTTGTTAGAATATAGAACTGCTGAGTTGTTGTCACAATACAACTTTAGTGGTCTTTCTATGCCATTCAGAATGCGCAGCCCAGTGACAAAATTTCGCAGCCATATTCCATGATTAGATGCCTCATAGCATGCTACAAACTCTGCTGCCATGGTAGAAGAAGCTATGAGTGTCTGTTTGGTACTCTTCCAGGAAATAGCTCCTCCAGCTAGCAGAAAAATATAACCTGATGTGGATCTTCTACTATCTTGGCATCCAGCAAAATCAGAATCGGAGTACCCTATGATCTCTAACTGATCTGATCTGCTATATGTGAGCATATAATCCTTTGTCCTCTTTAGATACCTCATAACCCTTTTGGCTGCCTTCCAATGATCCATC